CTCCTCGCTTTGAACTTTCTCAGCCTCCTGGATCTTTGCAAGGATGGTCGCGCACTTGGCCTGCATCTGCTTGGATAGGGTGTCGAAGAGTGTTGCCCTCGCACTTGCCAAGTTCCCTGCCTTCCGCGGCTTCTTGCTCTTTGGACCTGCAGCGCGGCTCTCAACCTCGTCTTCGGATGCGTCCAGTGTCTCCGCAGCCTTGCGCTTCACTGGGCTCGCACCGTCCTTGGAGGAGGCAGCGTCGTCAGTGACCGCCTTCTCTTCTCTCTCGGCACCATAATCTTCGGGGCTTTCCTCGGTGATGCCACTGCCCCCATTGAAGAAAGAGTGGCCGTGAGTGAGGTCAGCTTCAGTGGCATGGCGACGGAAGGCGTCGATCTCGAAGTCCTTTGGATTTTTTTTGATCTTCGACTCTTCTTTGGCCGCACCCTTCACGAATTGAGTGTTTGCCTTCTGTTCGAATTCAAGGGCTGGCAACCACAATCGGATACAGCCGTTGTACCCCAGGTGGTCGCGCCTCCACGGGCCAGCCAATTTTTGTTTCCAGGCCTCCTTCATTTCCTCCTTCTCGCGGCCGAACTTCGTGACCTGTTTGATTATCCACTGGCCCTCTTCGAATGGGCGGAGCTGCGACGCATTCGTGGTCTCCACAAGAACTCCGAATTCTTGTTCCCACTTCACGAAGTCGATCATCGGGGCCCTGGCGAACATCGGGAGGCCCACTGAAAGCTTCATCATGTGCTCGATTTGCCCATTTGCGAATTCGATGTTCTTACATTTCTCCATGAAAGCCTTGCCAGCAGCCTCACCCTTGACCCGGATGACTTGGTTGCGTGCATTGTCAAGATGGCGATGGTGATGGCCGCAATGGCGCCTTCCACACTTGCTGTCCTCATCACATGATGGGAACCCACAAAGTTTGGCCCGGCCTTTTGAGCCTGCCGTGGACGCGGAAGACTTGGAAGCACGCGAGCCGGCCCCGCCACCCACTGAAGGCTCTGGGGTGGGGGCGGCAGATGGGACTTCAAAACCATCCTCCATGCTGGCTGCGCAGGTCAAGTATGCACACTGGTGACAACGGTCTATGCGGTCGCGGCTCTGGGTATACATGGATGCTTCAAGTACACAAATGCATGCTGCATCCGCAACTTCAGGACCTGTCATTTGCACACGGCAATGCTTGCAGACATAAGTTTTCTGTGTCCAGCGTGGGCAATCAAAACTCCTCGGCAAATTAATGGCTTCTGACCTTGCGCAGCTCACAAAATCAAAGGCGAAACATGCTTTAGTAAACGTGATTCAACATGTCCCACCACAAGAGGCCGCCTGCACATTGAGGCTGTTGCGCAAGTATGAAGACTTACTGCCTTGCACCCATTGAACTCTGCTTCTGCTGCTACTGTCAACCAAGCCTTGAACACAATCTAGCTCATCAGGAGATCATGAACGCATGTACTCAAAGCCTGAGCTTGGGCCTCTTCTGGAGAGGCTGCGCGTGAAATTCGTCTTCATCATCAAGGCTTGAACCTCCTGCTTGCGCAGGAACCGTCTTTGGAAGCTTGGAAAGGTCTGACCTCAGGACGATGTTGCCAATGGCATACAGGAGCCATGCAGAAAACGTTGGAATATGCATTGTGTTTCCTGACAGAAAACGCTGGTCCGCTTCACCGAGCTGACTGAACACGTTTGCCAGAGGGGATACACCTCGCTCTCCAGTAAATCTCTCAAAGATGTCAATGCCCTGCGCAAACAACAATTCTGACGCCAAGGCTAGCCGCTGCTGCTGAAAACTATATATACTTGGATGAGTATCCAGGGAGGGAACCTCAGGACCAGGAGCAGGTCCGTTGCCAACATTGTGGTCCAAGTGCACCAGAAAATGTCCATCGAGGCTTTCCTTTTCATGCCGGATTTTCTCGTACTGAGAGAACCGAACCATGCCTCCAGGGGGAGGAGGCAAGCCAGATAGTCTTTCATGGGCATTGACTGGAAGTTGGAAGGCAGGGATTTGCCTCGTTGGGCAGCTCTGTCCTGCGCAAACTGGTGCACATCTGCATCGGACGCCGCAAAATAGACATCTCCAGATAACTGATTTCTCGCCCCGAACGCATTGATGAAGGCTGCCTGCACCTCTTCATCTGTTTTCGGGCCTGCCCATACCCACCGACTTTTGTCATACCCAAAGGTGAAGACCCTGCGCGGACGTATGGGGAAACCCATTTCTGTTGGGCACACGGTAATGTGCTGGATCTCATGGGTGGCATGCAACGGCTGAATCTGTTTGGTGTGTACTGGATACGCTGCAGAATTTTCCGTGAAGAAAAAATCTTCTAACCCCAAACTTGCCAGGTAGGTACGCTCTGCTTTCCACACAGCATGGAAAGGCTCAGTCAAGCCACAACCTTGAAGCCCGCGCTGCTTACCCAAAGGCGTGTAATCTGTGCACACAAGACCAGAAATGTTGCAAACAATCGGGTTTGGAACTTCCTCTGCAGCACTCGGCAAAAACTCCGATAACGGCTTCTCATACCAAGGCTTCCCACCAGCATATGCTTTTTTCTTTTTCGGTGGAGAAAGGGAGGAACTGCTTGAATCATGCATGGACATGCCACACGCTGAAGAAGCTGCCGCGCCTGTTTGGTCATCCTTCATGGACTGCAGCACAGGCCATAGCCGCGATGGGCACCGCTGCCGGTGCATGTCACAGTAGCACAAGCCGTCAGCACTGAACAACACCTCTCCTGCTTGCCCAAGGAATTGCTCCACCAATTGATTGGCTTGTCTGGCCTCCTCAGGACTCATTGCCTTAGTTGGCCCTGCTTCCTTGACCCATTCTTGAACATCTGGCTGCAACCTGTCCATGATGTTGCTGAACACACAGCTACTCCCTCCGTCAAGCAAATCACTTTGCAGCATGAGGGTCTTCTTCGGCACAGTGTCCCAATCACATGAGCGTACAAAGTGCACAGGCAATGGCTTCTTGGCAAGGGCTTGTGTCATGATACGGAAACATTCGCGAGGCGCATCAAAGCCACTGAAGTCGGTTGCTATGAAAACACCTCGCCTAAGATTTTTCATGATGCGATCACCCATCACTGACATCTCCTCACACCTGCTTGCGTAGAACTCATCCCACAAACACAATTTCTCCAGAGAAACCGGACCTTGGTCATCCAGAAAACTGCTTGCGCGGCGGTGGAGATGCATGAAGTCAACTTCGCTAAAATCACACAATCATGTCATGACAATGCTGTCTATGCTCTGCGCATGGTCTGCTCCCTTCTGTCAATGTCAAGCACATATGTCATGAAAGTGATGCTGTCAAATTGTAAAATTCTGTCAAGCGACTTGTTGCATTGCATGCCCTGACCACTTGCGAGCTGATAAGAGCAACACAACTGTTGCACAAAAGGCACCAAGCAATTCACTGAGATCATGGCGACTGCCTACAAAAGCTTTCACCTTCTTGCAGCATGTTCAAATTTCGAATCTTCCACAATGGCCACAGAATAAACACCGCGCAAGTGCAGATGGCACTGAATTGTGGTTTTGCATGAAAGGCGCAAAGACAATGCAAGTAGCTAGATTAAAGCGAAAACAATGAAAAACACTCAATCAAGCCGAAAACAATAAAAGTCAAGCAAAACCATTTAAAATCATTTAAAATCAGACAGAATCAGATCAAATCAACTAAAATCAATTAAAATCCTTTAAAATCCATTAAAATCCTTTAAAATCCAATGAAAACATTAAAATCCAAGAAAAATGACCAAATGCACAGTAATTTGCAAGAAATGTTCAAAATGCAGCTGATTTGACACCAGAGAGCAATTCTGAAAGGCCTGGACTCTGGGCTGTTGGTGGAACTTCGTGGAACTTCGTGGAACTTCGCGCAAGTTCGTGCAAGTTCGTGCAACTTCGTGCAAACTTCGTGCAATGGCCTTTTTGCCCTCAAAACACTTCAAATCAGGTTCAAAATGGGGGGTCTGAACTTCGTGCAAACTTCGTGCAAGTTTGTGTAACTTCGTGCAAGCCTCATTTTTGCAAAAAGTAGGCTGATTTTGCTATTCTCTGTGATTTCTGATCACCGCCCGGGTTTCCATGGAGAAAATGGCCTGAAAGAGCGCTCTAGCTGCTGGACTGAGGCCCTGGACTCTCGAAAAAACTGCAATGCGTGGGAATGCTGCTCAATGGGCAGGCCTGAACCCCTCAGACCTCGCAAAATGCTCACAAATCTGCTTCTCTGGGCAGCTCCATGCTCAACTTTGCAAAATCAACCCACATGCTTGTCAAATTGCTGGTCTCTTGTCTGACGCAACTTTAACATGCTGGTCAATGCTGGTATGGACTGCAAAAATGCTACGCTCAGGCTTCCTGCGAAAGAAAGAAAGTCATTTGTAAAGATTCTGTGAGCTTCACACCGAGCGAGCCCTCCTTTGAATCAAACAGCCCTGAGCAGTCACCGCCTGGACCCCGACTGCATCAATCAACAACTATCATGGGAAAAAGCTTGCGATTGTAGCATGCTGTCACAGACCTTGCAACAATTGCAGCACACAACCAGTTAGAGGATTTGGAAAGGCTTTCTTAGCAGGACTTGTTGAAAAAACACAATAGCTCCTCAGCTGAATGCAAAAGCTGCAATGAGTCTAATATCGCACAATCCCATCCATA